CACATACACACACACACACACACTCACACACATACACACACACACACACGCACGCACGCACGCACGCACGCACGCACGCACGCACGCACGCGCGCGCGCGCGCGCAGTGAGTTGGAATTTTCGCGCGCGCCAAGACCCCACTCAATTACATCACATAAGTGCGCTCCTTATCCTTTTTGTATTTGTACTTTCTTTTTTTTTTTATTTTGTTTCCAAATACATACACTGTATTATGTTAAGTGGAAGAGCGGAGTCACCTAACACAAGCATCTCTTTGCTTAACAAGTGGTCTACAAACCCTGTATCTTAAGGCTTTATGTAATTGAAATAAACATTTTTATTTATTTATTATACGCTGTAATAGATGGATGGATAGGACGGGATATATTATGTCATTAAATAATTTTAATTAGTTTTGGCCTGTAAAGGTGATTTAAACAATTAGATTCATGGTACATTGCCAACTCTAGTTAATAATAAATGAGGAACGTAACTTTTGGCATGATTGCGCTGTTGCGTATCTTGTGACACATCCTGGCAATTTTTAAACGATCTGAGAGAAAGTAAGACCTAAATCATGGGAACAGTTGGACGCTTTAATATTCATAAAGAAGTGGTCTTAGCCAACTAGCTTAATTAACCTTTCAGTTAAAAGTCTCCTCTTTTTACTAAACGGTGCCGTTCAACTAGCGACCTGGATGATATTCAGCCGATGTGTCTGATACAACATTGCACATATCTTGTAACATCAGCGCCAGTCGGCTAAGGTGCAGCTGGGGTGGCCCCTAAAGCCGCGTAAATGTACAATGTATACAATACAGCACTAATTAGGCTAGGTTTCCACCAGAGAAGTGCTCGGATGCGTAGCGAGGGATGTGTTTGTTAAGAACCAAGCGACCGTCTCATTGTATGAAATTAATAGGGTGACCACTGACCATGCCGTGTCTAGGCTGTTAACTGAAAGGCTAATTAAGATAGTTTTCCGCGACATATGGATAAAGAAAATCTGTTTGGATTTACAACCACAAGGTGCATGTACTCTGCGGTTATTAAGTCCATTTACATTCTATCCCTTACAAAGTATTAAAATTGGTATCAATATCAAAAGGTTATCTACGTAGGCAGTAGTCCTTGAAGTATTAATTAACATATTATCATAGTTTTACAATATTACATTATCAAGGTCTCTACCATGATACCTGTTATCGCCGTCTGGTTGAGCGCTTGTGACGACAGCTAGGCTTATCTCAGTATCTCACCGGGCAACGGAAGAAAGTGCCGTGCATGCGATTATTTGTAAATTTGATAACAATTATAAATGTATCTTTTACCCGCGATTTCGTCTACGTAGAATTCAAACAAAAAACCTGTAGATCTGTAATAGTGGTCGTTCAGTTATCGAAAAATCATTTTAATCTGAGTTTGTTTGCTATTTATTGTCTTGAAACTTATGTGCGATATTGGTATTGGTCATAATTTATTCTATAATATAAAAATGAATCGCTGAATGTGTTGCTAAGCGCAAATCTCGAGAGCAGCTGAACCGATTTCGCTAATTCTTTTTTTTATAATATTCCTTGAAGTACGAAGATGGTTCTTACGGAGAGAAATTTAAAAAATTGCCTGAAAAGGTCTAAAATCAACACTTTTCTATTTTCCCATACAAAAGATTCGTAATAATACTTAAAAAGTCAATTTGAACTTTAATATTATACCATAAAGTTTAAGTGTTAGTAGAGGGATTCCGGGAAGGCAAAACAATTGAGTAACGTTAGTATTGTATAAATATTAATGTCAATATTTGTCAATATTTATAAGATGGTAACATTACTCAAAAATAAAATTAGTGTTCCGCGCAAAAAAAAAATGATATCCATGAAATGGTAGTAAATTCCACGGCACAACTAGCTTAAAATATAAATTGAAGAATGTCTTTTTTACCTTATCCTCATAATTTTGTTGACAAATAATTTTAAAGAATCGTTGTGAAGTAAAATGCTAAAAAACGATTTTGCATCAAAACGATGCAAAATCGTTTTACTTAAAGAGATGATGGGTAAAGTGTAATGAACATTTTTGTGTGAGATTCCAAACCAATAAAGTAGCGTTCAAAACTTGTTTACGTAAACTATACTTATTTAATATCATAAACTCTAGGAGATATAATCTTATAAATATATATTTTGTATCTCATATAGTTTATGAGAAAATCTCTAAAACTTTTATCATTGATTTCACAAACAGCCCTACATGTTTTTTGGATAAAATATACCCCAGATAACTTGTAGAATCTCTATCCGTTTGTGAAGTTACATCACAATTGGTTCAGACAGACAGACAGTCTTAATAACATGAAAGAGCTTAAGAGCAGTGCAGTTTTCAATATTACATACAGACATTTCAATTGCATTTATGTGTGTATAGGAGTATAAATACGTTTCGTATGTGGTAGAGCCACGCTGCAGCTATATTGTAGTTGTAACACAAATGGGTCGGCTCCGCCGGGTAGGACCACGCTATCACAGAATACCAGCGTAAAATAGCAACTTAATGATGCTGTGTTTCGTATGGTGCGTGTAGAGAATCGGAGACCTTTTTTACTGGAAACGAGGCATTCCATCTTCGTCTGCATTTTGATTCTTGATCGTGGATAAATGTAGATGTCTGTGTTGACAGCACCCACTTACCAACAGGTGGACTGTGTGTTCGTTTGTCACCCTTATTCTATAAAAAAAAAGATCATGATGGCGCACTTGTTCATAATTATATAACATAATATTAGAACAATGGAAGGTTTATCGGCAGCCGCAGTGGCGCTCGGGGAGCGGGTTCTAATACCATGGCCTTTAAATAACTGTTCCGGATCAGACCCATGTTTGTCTAAGTGCAATGTATGTATTTACATGTACTTAACCTTTGGTTAAATTTTGGTGGATTTTATTTGTCCGAATTATTAATAAAATAATATAAACGTGACTTTTGATTGCCCATGGACATCCCAGCCGCACTTTAACCTACTAAAATGTCCTCCAGACCGAATGTGGGTCACGGTGGACAGTCTCAACGGAGATTCCCTCACACTAATAGACACAACCGGGGAGAGATCAGACGCAGTACCAACGGCTTTTTATGTGCTTTCCTAGGCACGGGTTTAAAATACCAGCAACTTCCTGATTGCAACTGAGAATTTCTTCGCAGAAAAACCTAATAATTGGTTTTGGCCCGACCTGGGATTCGAACCTCACGAGCACCACATTATCAGAGAGGCAACCAACTAGGCAGTTAACCAAATACACTAGTAGTAGTAGTAGTAGAAAAAAATTAAAGTTACAGCCTATATTCCACTGCTGGGCACAGGCCTCCTCTCATTTCTGATAGGGTTTTAGAGCAAGGAAATGTCCGCCGCGCTAACCCAATCCCAATGCATGTTGACGAATTTCACATATCTTCGAATTTTTTTCTTATTTCTCAAACATGTAGGTTTCCTCACGATGTTTTCCTTTACTGCCGACCACATCAACACTTAAAATTGCAGTTAATAATTTCATTGACGCCGGCGGGGATCGAACCCGTGTTGCTCGCGTACTGTGAAATTTGCATCGAACGCTTAACCTCTGAGCTACCAGGCTAAAATATAAAAATTACAGTCAAACCACCAAAACTGAAGTAAGAGATAATTCTTGATATATAATAGATCAGTTACTGCAGGAGTTCAACATTATTACAATCATTTGAATTATTTACATTCGTACGTGATGTCTGCATCACGAATAGGTCGGCTCGACCGGAGGAAGGACCACGCACGCACGGTACCAGAAAACCTGCAGTGTTCCGCTTGGTGAGTGGCGTGAACCGGAGACCCTTTTATACTGGGTGCTGACTACACAATACCTCCTCTAATTATTGCCAACGAGGTCATCCACGACTTTTTGTGCTACCAGGGCGGCGCATATGAGGAACGAGGTGAAAATTTAACAAATTATATATTGGGCAAATTAATTTGTTCGGAAAATGTAATGGTTAATGTTTCTTTTTGTAATATTAGTTACATTGTAATTAGATTAGAAATGAATAAACCAAACTACAGATAATCCTAAAAGTACAAAAATTAAAAAAAAGGTTAAAAGTGTGACAAACATTATGGAACATACCATTGTAGCATTGTTTTGTGTATTTATCTAATACCCTATAAACCGATAAAATTTTATTTGAAACGCAACTTCTTAATTTATATGACATTGTGTGACGGAAAACTTCACCTTAGTCCCTACTAGCGACATCTAGTGAACGAAAGATTATTAGCACTCATTAGACCTCCACGCTGTTCCAGTGCGTGTTGGCGGACTTCTTACATTTTATTCCACAGACTTCCTTCGAGAGATCATTCCGATGTTTTACTTCACTGCTGAGCATGTGGTAAATCTACATTTAAAATTGCAACTAACAGGTCGCTCGCATTATGTGAATTTTACTACGGCCGCTTAGCCGTCAACTACCGTGACTTTAACACTTTAGATATTAAAATAAAATAATATTGATTATTTCTATTTTTTTATTGTTTATAATGAAGAATTTTCAATCACATTCATAAGCAGGATAAGCTAAACATTTATTAAACAAGAACCAAAAAAGTGTTATAAAGATACAAAAAATTATCGATTGAATGAAAATATTTTAAAAAATAACCTTGTAGTGGCGATGTAAGAATCCACTACCCCATTTCGTCCCGTGGGTGTCGTAACAGGCGACAGAGGAAAATAAACCAGGAGATGGGCAGTAGCGTCTTCCTATTAACAACTTAAAAAATAAAATACTGCGGTTGGCAACCCGCCTGCCAAACGTGGCAATTATAGCTAAATATTCCCACTATGAAGCAATCTATGGCGAAGGCCTATGTTCAGCAGTGGACGTTACACAGGCTAGAATGGTAATTTCCTAAATTAATTGATTTTTTGGTTAGGTATATCAATTTATTTAAGACAGTTATTTTTTTCTTTCAGCGTTAAAGAACTGCGAATCGATATTCGACGTATCGATCACGACGACAGTGGACTCGAATTGTGCAGGGCAAAGCTCCATCCTGAGCGCGGGAACTATCGCTGACAGCTGTTTCAACGGCCACACCGGTGCTATCAAATCTGGCTTGAGCCACTTGGCCATACCGCGCGGCTGGTCCTGGGGCGGTCCCGCTTCGCCATACTGTCCCATCTGGGCCGAAATCAAGGTCCCAGATTGACGACGACTAAGAAGTTTTTTTTTGGTATAAGGAAAATATTTTTTATTTCTCCATTACTTTTGTTGTTTCAGTTTTTATTGTTTTGATGCACATATTTTATTTGAGTCAAGGTAAAGACGGACATGATTGTTTCACGCCTTGAAATTATTTTGTGATCATTTTTAAATAGTTTAAGTATATATAGTGAATATTATTTCCTGTTTTAAATTATTAACATATATGGTGTTTCGTATCGTTAATATTAATATATTGGTAATTACCGTATTTATTAATTTTTAAATAATTGTGTGTAAAGTGTATATATATTTAAGATAAACATTTCTTAATATTATAAATTATAAATTTATAAGTATTAAATTCTTTTAAATCAACTGGTAACTTGCGTCCCCTTGGTTATAGTAGGAATATTTTTTGTTTATACAGTAGCAAATGCATTTAAAGGGGCTCAAATCAAAATTATAATAAATAAATTAAGATTGTTAGAAATGAAGTTATATAAACGATTCACTGCTATCTTCGAGACAAATCCCCACACCGCTAGGCAAAGGCCTGTTCCGATTTATGAGAGCGTCGACGAGAAGAGACCATGTTCTGTAAATATGTATTAACTCTTGATATAATAATAATTATCATTGAGTGCGTGAAAGGGTCGAACTTACAATGTTAGTAGTGCCGGCACGGCAGCGATCTCGTGTGATTTGCGTACAATAGAAATTTAACACAATCGATTAATTATTTTCATGATTTAATGAATTATATTTCTCTAAAACGACTAACGATTTCTATATATTTATGGCTAAGATATTAAGGATTTGTTTTGAAGAATAGTCGGTTTTACTTCCTTTAGCAATAAATGCAGTATGTAGTAAAAATTAAAGATATATATTGCAATAAAGTATGAATACAATCATAAAACTTATAACGAACGTATAATTAACATCGATTCACTTTACTACGCAATTATAATTAACAAAGGTATAGCCTATTTTCGCCGTCATAACTGTCAACTTACCTCACTCGAGTATAATTGAGTATGGTATGCAAAATGGAAAATATTCCAAAATAATTTTTTTATAGTAATTCCTTTGAAAAACTGGCCAACGATGTTTATTATTTGCAGACAAGTGTACAGAGCAGAGTTGAGTGGCGTCTTTGTACTATTAAAGAAATAGATAATTTGAAAAAAAAAATGAATGTACTTTATAATACCGAATGTAGTGTTTTTTAAAACTTGGTTAAATAATAAAATAAAAATATTTATTTATTATTATGTTTTTGTGGCATAATGTTGTCAACACAAAGTTGGTTTATTTTCCAACCCTAATCGACTGAGTGACGTTAGTCGTCGGCAGGTGCCATTCTTATTTTAATCGCATTATATAGCTTGGCAATTTACATGGCAGTGTACTAAACAATGGTTTCTTGTGTTTGAGTCCATTTGTATGAAGCGTAGTCTTGAAGCCGTTACTTAAATTTGTACTTGAAGTATTTGTAGACTTGTTTTTGTTTTGAATATTGAAAATATACATACATATATTAAATCTTTGTAGTTCGTTAGAGTTTACCGTCAATGTGGCCAAATATCGAAGCTGTGTCAAGATCTTCAGTAGATATTTAAATTTAACGCGTATTTTTTCTGGATTTTATATACCTAAGCTTTAGATTTGAAAACGTATAATTTCGACTACTAATGTTACGACTTCTGTCATTACGAAAAATTACAATTTAGCCCTACTAAAATCTATTCACAGGAATAATGAAATATTTAATATTAAAAGAGATAATAGTTATTTGAAATAATATAAGGTTTCATATTAATAATTTACCGTAACGAAATATAAATTGCATGTATTGCGTTTTACAAGGTCCTTTTATTAATTGTACCGGCGGTCATCATCAAGCTTCCTGTATTAGTATTTTCTGCCAGCCTTTTGCTTAAGAGACTGTCAACTGTTTAAATGGATTAGTGAGAAAAGTATAGTTCTACTACGATTTTAATTATTGTAATTTGAAAATTCTTCAGTCGTCTAGTACAAAGCTTGTAAGCAATAATTAATTAAATAATTTTGTTATTCTAAATAATTATCTATGACAAGAGGTCGCGTTCGTATCCCGCCAAAATGTTAAGTATAGCGATTGAACAAAGTTAGTAGGTAACCAACAAATTTGGCTAGTATGGTGGCATCCAGAAAGTACCTCCTTTAGAGTTCTGGCACAGAAGTGCTAGTTGATCGCTCGTTGTTGGATCCCCTCTGCTTCTTTGGTAAAGTAATTCCATTCAAAATTTTATCAATAAATGAAAATTTTTATTGTCACCAAATTTTTTTTCTGTATAACAGCTATTCTTTTTTTTGTATAACAGCTTTTCTATTTGAATGACACGCTCGTGGAAACTGTCCATGCGGTCGGAGCTAAGTTCTGCATGACCCGCCGCAGAAGAACACAAAAACTCTCCGATCACACTCTTAATCTCATGGCTGTTAGACGGGAGATGAAGCTACATTCTTCAACAGACTTGACAGCATACAGGCATCTGAACAGACAGATCTCCAAATGCATGCGGCGGGACTTACGCAACTTCAATACAGCTCGTATTGAAGAAGCGATAGAGCGGAACCAAGGCTCCAAAGTCTTTGCCAGAGATCTGTCTGCCAGGAAGAGCCAACTGTCAAAGCTGAAGACCGAATGTGGCAGATTCGTTTCCGGGACACCTGAGATTTTGAGTGAGATTGAGAGGTTCTATGGGCAGCTGTACACGTCATCGTTGGATCCACACGCAAGTGTGAGTAACGATCCAAGAGCGAGTCTCATCCGACACTATTCCGAAGATATCCCGGACGTCAGTCTGAGCGAGATTAGAATGGCTCTCCAGCACCTTCAAAACGGTAAGGCCCCAGGCGAGGATGGAATTACAGCGGAGCTTCTGAAAGCGGGTGGAAGACCGGTACTTGAAGTCCTTCAGAGGCTCTTTAATTCCGTCCTCCATGGTGGCATTACACCGGAGGCGTGGAGCAGAAGTGCGGTGGTCTTGTTCTTCAAGAAAGGTGACAACGCTCTCTTGAAGAACTACAGACCGATTTCCCTTCTGAGCCGCGTCTACGTGCTGTTTTCGAGAGTCATTACGAATCGTCTCGCGCGCATACTTGACGACTTCCAGCCTCCCGAACAAGCCGGTTTCCGAAAGGGCTTTAGCACCATAGACCACATACATACCCTTCGGCAAGTTGTACAGAAGTCCGAAGAGTACAATTTGCCACTATGTCTGGCGTATGTGGACTATGAGAAAGCCTTTGATTCCGTCGAAATTTGGGCGGTGCTGCAGTCCCTTCAGCGGTGCCAAGTTGACTGTCGGTATATCGAAGTGTTGAAGTGCTTGTACAGTAGGGCTACGATGGCTATCCGAGTACAGAACCAGAGTACGAAACCTATCCAATTGCAGAGAGGTGTAAGACAGGGTGACGTCATATCCCCGAAACTCTTCACCGCTGCATTGGAAGACGTTTTCAAGCTTCTGGACTGGAAAGGATACGGTATCAACATCAATGGCGAGTACATCACTCACCTTCGATTTGCCGACGATATAGTCCTTATGGCAGAATCGCTGGAGGGCCTAAGCACTATGCTCAATGACCTCAATAGTGTTTCCCAACGGATAGGTCTTAAGATGAACATGGACATCCGCAGTAGAACCAGAATAACCGACATAGCCCAACGAATTAGTAAGCTGAAGTGGCAGTGGGCCGGCCATATAGCTCGAAGAACCGACAACCGATGGGGAAGAAAGGTTCTCGAGTGGCAGCCTCGTACCGGTAGGCGAAGTGTAGGGCGTCCCCCCACGAGATGGAGTGACGACCTGGTAAGACATGCAGGAAGCCGATGGATGCAGGTGGCTCAGGACCGTGCTTTGTGGCATTCTTTGGGGGAGGCCTATGTTCAGCAGTGGACTTGTGAAGGGCTGTAATGATGAATGATGATGATGATAACAGCTATCAAGGGCTGCCTTTTGTCCACCGGTCTTACAGTGAATTGAGCTTGTAGAAGTATTGCAACAGTTGTGCCTTCGAAAAACTTTTATCTTCGGTGGTTTACCTTTTTGTATTTACTGTTGTACATAAATCTGTGTCTAGATTAAACTCATTTGAAGACAGGTTCGAGATGTCAGATATGTTAGGTGTGAGGAAGCGAATCCCAACCTGGCATTGATATCCTGTCATCTCTAAGACCTAGGAAAAGCCTCTTTGAAAAAACTGATGGCACGCTATCTCATTCTTCAGTTCGATTGGATATGTCATATTTGGATATTTTGATGTATATTTTTGACTAATAAACCTGCGTACGGCGAACTCTCATTGGCAGAGGCCTTTATGTGTAGACAGTTTGCGAACTAAAGTTTAGATGATTAGATGTTTTATCTCACGAAGGCCTGTATTTACTCTGCTACTTAGCAAAGGACACATTATATTATCTTATATATTTTCTTATATCACTGCTAACAATTTTTCTCCGTTTACTTTCCGTTCTGACGGTACTCGTTAATAATTTTTGACCATCATACTTACGCACACTAAAATAATGTGCATGTGTTAACAAGCAAAAATAACCTAAGGGTAATAAGAACTAGCTAAATATCTTCACTATTTCCAATCTAAGTCGTTAAGTTTAAAAAGAATACTGTCAAATTAAACAACGTGATATTATTTGCAGTGAAATGTAAGTCAGCGAACGAAAGTAGCAAATATAGTTCATTTTCACTAGTTGAAATACTTCTTCCTTCTCAGGACACTGAGAGAAAGTTAGCTTCACAGTCTTCTGTATAATCTACCTCGTTGGTTTAACGTTCCTTACGGCGTGCTTTCTGCAGAACCGTGGATCAAAATTATTTTTTACGATTAGGTCTCAAGAGAGTTTCAACAGGGTAGTGGCCCTGCTAGACTGCGTGAGAGGAGGGACTAGATTTTTATAGGGGTAACCGTTTTTTTATAGGATGTGCTACGCCTATT